AGCCAAAGCTCTGCCTTCCCCAGCAAAAGTGCCATGCAGGAGGATTAAAAGAATTATGATGAAGCATTTTTTTTACACAAAAATATAATTAAACAATATAAAAATATAATTAGATTATTGGGCTTTTTGCTTTCTACCTCCCTTTGACTCATCAGCATGTTTGCACGGGCCATCCAGGAGAACACTACTATGCGACAGCTGGCAGTAAAACCATGATCTTGTCCCACACTGACATGATATAATTTGGTTTCAGCCAAGGCAAAGGAGTCTGGCCACTGACTATCTAACAGCAGCATTTCAGCGCTGCTCACAAACGAGAACCTGATCAACGTGCTGCTAGAACCAGTGACTTCTAAGGTTTGCTTCAATCGGGTTTTAAGACAGTAACATATATATTCACCTTCAACGGACCAGACTCATAAAGATAAAAACCAGCTTAATAAAATACTAGTGTATGCAACAGCAATAATTGGTTGGATCTATATTTGGATATAGTCACTGTGAGAAGACACACTGGATATGTTTTTATATCCTTAGATCATAAACTCAGAGAGGCAAGTGGTAAAACATGAAGAAGAGAATGGTTGCCTACCTGGCCAGGAAGGCAGGCTGGCAGGAAGCGACTCACCTGCCCATTGACTGCACAAAGCACTCGCAGAGAAAATTCATCCGTAGGTTAGCCCAGCAGACTGTTGCTGCCATAATGGATTAAATCCTCCCAGCATTGGGCTATTGTACCACTCAAAAAACATTAAATCATATGATTGTTTGTGGGGGAAGTTGGTTTAAAAAGAGAAGGAAGTTAGCAACGTTCCCTCCCAAGGCACTGATAAATGGGTTCTGTAGCAATGGCAATGGTGAGGAAGAGAGTAAATCAGCACCAGGTATCATTTTCTTATTACTGTGTGCTTCTCATTTATCTTGAATGCTCTGAATTCATGCTATGAATCAGTAGTATTTCAACTGGTCTGGTATAGAAAGATCTCAGCACTATCTGCTCTTCCAAATTTATTCTTCGGTTACTTACCCAACACACGTGGGTGACTAGGACCTCTTTGCAGACAGTCTGAAAGGACAACACTGCTTTTTTTCTACTAACAAGCTGAATAGAATGTCCCTGTGCCTCCTCTTCTTTGTTTCTAACTGGGAAACAAAGCTGCCCAAGTGGCCTTCCAGGCAGCATGACCTCCAAGTGACTGGAGTTTGCAGTATCCTTCCTTGATTGCTTTTGGCTCTCGTTCCATTTCTCATGTTATAACAAAAGGAGAAGCAGATCCCTCAGATCTCAGAAACCTCTGCTGAAGAAAGAAGGATAGTTCCATTTCATAAATTAATACACTGACTACTTCTAATCTGGCAAACATGAAGACACAACTTTCTTTTTTCTGGTATACTATAACATACTACCCTTCAAAAATTATTAACCATTAAGATACTACAAAGAATGACAGAATTCACTCTGCTTAAATTCTACAGTATGTGTTTGGATTTAGATACCTAAATCATATCTAAGTGGTAGATAGCAACCCAGCCATGCTCTTTCCAAGGCTGTGTAGCTCTATAGACAAAATGCCTTCACTGATCTGTAAAAGTCTCCTGGGCATTATCAAATGTGTCCTGATGTGCTCAAAGGTATTGTTTTGAGGGACACAAGCTTGACTTCCAATCTAGTAAAGATAGGTGTTAAAAATGTGGGAGGTCTTAGGTTCTCAGATGTCCTCAGCAAGAAGGGGAGTGAATCTGTATCACTTCCTTGTTTCCTCTACCCCCATAACACAGGGTATCTTAAGTAAGACTACTCACTACCATTTCTTCTTGAAGGGGCCATTTCACAACCAAGAATGAGATAAATTAAGACAGAAGAGCAAAATCATAATTGCACTGCACTTTACACATCTCATTGATATAGGCTTCGGCTGTTAAGTACTCAGGACATCTACAAATCAGGCCTTACAAATGGTGCCCATTAAAGGATGAATGTACAAAGTTTGCATTCACTAGTGAAAACCTTGGTTTAAGTGGGCTAATTCGTCCATGTTAAACAGGAGCTCAGACGCCTTGCTATTTCTTTAAGCTTCCTGGTTTTGTTCTCTGCTAAGCAGCGGGGGGGCTTTTCTAGGCATGCTGTAATGGAAGCTGCTGCAACTTCCCTCTTGCTGCCAGGGAATTTCAGCAAGCCTGCAGAAGAGCTCCTATGTTTAGCCTCCTCCAAGTTCCAGTATCTCAATACATACATTGCTTGGTTGTACTGCTCTAAAGCAATGACAGAAAGTATCCAAAAGGTCCAGCAGTATACTGAACTGGTTGAGTCCACCAGGCACTAGGCACATTTGGCAGCCTATACTAAGAGATCCAGTCTCCAGCAAGCTGCCAGCTTGTTCATGGCTCTGCTGACTGTGCTTTACAAGAAGAGTTAAACCGCAGATTTCAATTAAAAACAGATTAATAAAAAAAGTATCTAACAGTATGTTATCAGCCAAATTGCTGAACTGGACCACAAATGTGATTAGCACTGTATGACTGGAAAAACTCTGGGACATACAGTACCTCAGGATTCTAGGCTGGGTTTTACTTGGATCAGAAGAAATATTTTTCATCTATGAAAAAATAAACTTAGTTTAATTATCTTCCATTTACTCAGCTGCAGTGATCTATGCACAGGTTTGAGGACACCAAGAGAATGTCAGCATCGCTAACTGGGCACTCCCTTGTTTCATGAGACTTGGCACGTTTGATTAGTAAGGAAGATAGCTTTCTACATTACTTGTCACCTCCGCTTTCCTGAAACACAGCTGCTCTGCTTCACTGTGTAGTTTCCCTGGCCCTCAGGTAGATCTTACAGTGCAACAATTTTGAAATAAGCAGAACAGAAAAAAACCAGAACCTTCTCAAACACAGGCATGAAGAATATCAAGGAAATCTTGAGCTTGACTTTCACCTCAGTTTTGTGCCGCTGATTTCAAGATTTCAATTTCCACTGGGCAGAGGGAAGAAAGTCAACCAGCCTCCCACAAAAGTAGGTTTAGGAAAAGGTCCTGCAGTTCTTGGGAGCAGCTTGTCACATAACTTTCCATAGTAAATTACGTTAGATGAGGCCCTACCTACCGATCTATAGGGAAGTGATGAATAAAACAATACTTCCAGCATAAGTGGGTGAAATTTCTCTTGATTAAATTTTTATCATTTTGCATGGTAAAAAAAGCTCGTGACGCTTGACGATGGGAATCCAGTAGCTATGTTTGGGCTTTGCTCTGGCTAACTAGTAATATCCATCAAATGAAACAGCAAGCAAGGATGATTTTTGATTCTAGATGAGACCACCATGCAAGGGGGTGATGCAGCTCCTGTGGTGATAAAAAACTATGCCTTTCTCTGGCCCCTGAAAATTCACATAGGAAGACCACCATAAATCTTAATAGCTCCAAGATTCTTGACCCTTCTCCAGTTTCAGTGTAGACACAGTATCCTGTAGGAAACTTCTGATTTTCATGGGCAGCAGGATGCCACCCTCACCCTGGCATAAGTCTTTGTGAGAAGGAACAGGAAAGGCTGGCTCTGTGCTCTGGGAGGGAGGTGGATAAATCCCACTTTTTTTGACTGACGTCATCTTTCCAGTGGAGGAATTACCGCACAACCAGTCTGGACAGTAATGTTTCTGTCATTTTCCCAAACTCTTAACAGCAAACCAACTACTATAAATATGGTTCTCATGATTTCACTGTATCACACCAAAGTACTTGGGCCTCACACTCCCTCATTCTCTGAAATTTTACAGTATTTTAACTCACCTGGTTTCAAGGGAGCTACTTCTACCTTTAAGTAAATCAAGAGAGAATCAGATCCTCTTTGTGCTAGCAAGCCTCTCAAACAACTTACTGTGCTGTAAGCAACCACTCCATTCTCTGTTTACCTTGCAGGTAATAACAACAATAATATTCTGTGTAGAATTCAAATACAGAAGAAACATACCAGGCAAATCACTGAAAGAAACTGAAGGCTTACCTTTCTCTATAAACATGTAATGCATTAGTAGATTAATTTCCTGTTAGACAAATGAATGACATAGGACGCAGCATGCTACAGAAGGTGAACTGCATATCAGATGCAGTAAAACTCTAATCACCATTAAAATACTCAAGTAAACATTATCTGAGTCTTACACTAGGGTAACTCTTCACTATGCTGCTAGGTTTGAAGTGTAGTTTATATGCCAGGGCTTAATGCCTGCATTAAAGTTACCCTGGTTACTGAGGACTCCCATTCAATCACCTGAAATTTGTTCTCTCTGCATTGAAGAACTGTACATTTATTACAGAGTTGGGTTTTGATAAAATGACCCAGAATACAGACACAGATACCCAAACCAGTGTATTTAAAATTGAAATAAAAAAAAACAGAAACAAAAAGCTTTCAATCTGTGTCTTCAACATCAGCAGTGTGACAAGGAGCATAGTAACAAGAAATGCAGCAAAACTGTCATGATACTGGTAAAACAGAAATACCACAGCATGATGATAAGTCACAATATTGCTAATTATGTGGAGACAAACCATTTATATAGTGAACAAAATACAATGACATAGCTTTAGCATCATTTTTGTAAAGCGGCATAGCCATTTTGAAGGACAATCTGAATCACACCTAGTTCTAACCATTACATGAAATCAAGGATAAGTCAATTAAATTTGCTCTTCTGCAAGATTCACTATACTCTGGATATATGAACATAACCTTACAAGTCTTCAAGTTACATCAGGCAAAAGTCAACCAATATAAGTAGTTTTGGGAAGACTTTAGAAAACTAAAAGCCATGGCAGGCCTGCAGTATATGCACTCCTTAGCTGATGTAAAGTGCGTGGGTCTTAAAGAAAGTGTGTTCATTGGTATCAACAGAGGTCCAGGATGATTATTTTTAAATGCTTTGTAAACTATGGATACAATTGATAGAAGGACGGACATTCAGAAGAACTATATGTTAAGTAATTTGGAAGATATACATGTTACGTGCTTGGATTTTTCCTAACCTCTTCAATCCAATCAAAATCCAATGCAGCATCATCTAGCTCTGCTATCGAGAAGAGAGATTTCTGTGTGGCCACATTGGCTTTACTAGCATTTCCCAATGCAAAACTCTTCCTTCTGCTAGGATTGCTCACATGCACCTTCAGCAATGGGCTATGGCTTTCCTTGCTAGTGTCCATCTTAATCGTAGGTGGGGTTTCCAATTTTGACTCAGGACATGATGCAAAGGAGAATGTCAACAGTTTGGCTAATGTGCTGGGGCGCACCTTCCCTGTGCTTGGGCCACCAACCTTCTCCTCTCCCTCCCTTTTCCTTTCAGTGCGTGATGACACAGCACCAAAACTGGTATCAGAGCGTATTGTTGCACTTCCTCTGATCTCCCTCCCTAAGGCCTGATCATGGTGCTCTTCTCTCCCTTTATTATCAATTGACTGTTTTTCCAAACTATTTTTTCCTAAGCAAGTTAATGTCATCTTGCATTTCTCAGGGGGGCAGCATTCTTCTGGCAGCTGCTCTCCCTGGAGCTGCTCTCCAGGCTTAAAAATAGTTTCAGTCTGAAAAAGAGAAAACTCTTCATTTTTCTTCTCTGAAGAATGATCAAGTTTTGTCCTTGGTCTGAAAGAAAATTTAGCTAGTTTAGCTGCTGGAGGACTTTCACTGTCAAAGATTGCTGGCACATGGGAACTTACTACCTTTGTTTCCTTCACTACTTGACCTTTACTTAGTTTTCTCATGGAAATTGTTGCAGTTTTTGCTGCTACAGATACGCTGTTCTCCTCCCCTAACACAGAATCTGCATCACCTGAAAGATCTGGCAGGCCAGATGCAAGTAATACTGAAGGAAGGGCCTTTACCTCAGGGTCCTGTGTACTTGTAAAGAATTTATGTGATTTCTCTGTGTGCAATCTCTGCCACCTTTTAGAAACGCGTTGTGTAATAACTAAATCCTGCACACTAGCATTTGGTGATGCTGGATCTTGACTATTTGCTTCTGAAGAAAAACAGTTGTGTTCTTCAGTCCTTTTCCTGCCTATCTTGGACACTTTGTCCTGTTCCAAAGGAGCATGTAGATTCACAGTTGCTGGTGACTCGCTCATTCCATTTCCCTTCCTTGGTTTTGAAGCACTTCTTTCTTCAGAACAGGATGTTTTACACAGGGTTTTTGAAGGCAAGTTATTTGGAGATACCTTGGGCACTGGAGACTTTTTCTGAAAAGTGTCTTCAGCATCAGTGTTGCTCTCCTCCAGGCTGTCAAACCATGCCAGGCTGCCATCACCACCTCTCTCGCTATGTTTAATCAAGTGCTTTGTATTTTTGTTATTGCCATGTGCCAGGTTGCATAAAGGTTCTAAATGTATACCCCCTTCACAGTTGCCTTCGGGCAAAGAAGGCTGTTGCCTGGAGTTATTCTCTTGCTGATCTGAAGGTTCTGACTGAGACATTTGCTTTGACTGCCCAAATGTATCGTTGTTCGAGCATCTTGTAGTAGTACTGAAACTTGTCTCTTCAGGCTGCAGCTGGTGTGAATTCTCCTTTTGTAATCTATGGAATGAAAAAAAAAAGTTAATAGTAATTTATTTTTAATTTTTTTCTTTATTGCATTAGTGATGCTTAATATGTATGAATGGTGAAAAGTTACAAATAATAGAGGTCACAAAAGTGCATTATTAAGTTTCACATATAGCTCCAAAAGCTGGTGTTGCAGTCTGTGACCTTTCAGCACCTTCTACCGTAAATGGTGGAATTTAGGGTCCCCAGTAGAAGATAGGCAGATGGACAGAGAAAGCAACCACCTAAACATCATTTCCTTGGGGAACCAAACAAAACCAAAAAGATCCCAAACAAAGAGGTTTGCACTACTTACAGCCATTGCTAGAGCCCCTTAGGGATTACATACTCTGTAAGTATATCTTCTAGAAGAGGAACTTCATTAGATTTTACCCTGAGCAAGACAAAGCCTCAAACAAGGTATTAGAATGGAAAATCTTGGTATTACTTTGAATAGTGGTTAATGGTGGTTTTCTCTCACAATCACTATGGACCCAACACGTCAAAAACTCCACATGACACAGTGAAAGCATCTCAGATCACCTATAAAACTTAATTATCACTGTCTGTGGCTGTTAATATTCTCAGGGCCCTCCAAAACAATAGAGATGCTAGCATGAGGGTTCCCTCCGATCGCTGTATAGCTGATGTTCTGTCTATTGTGCCTAAACATGTAATTTCCAAGGGAGACAGCATTCTACTTTTCGCTAAATAGTGATTCTAACCATGAGTGAAGAGAAGCCACATTCTATCCTGAAAATGACTGCATTAGTGTAGGTGAAATTATTCCTATGCATTATAATTCTATTCTCCTCTGCTATATGAGAGAGAAAACACTGTACTGACATGTATCTTTTAGAATCATCATTATCATTATTTACTAATAAGCTTATTCTTAAAATTTTGATGGGAAGTAGCAGAAATGATCTAACTCATCAAGAAGGGCTGAAAGATACATGCTTGTTTTATTGAAATACAGTTTAGGGGGAATGCATGGGACAAGCCTTCTACTACAGAATAGGTTGTTTTAAAGAGGACATGCATTTAGTATTCTCTAAGCTGCTTAAGAAGGGGAAGAAGAAATCAGCTTAATTTGCAGCATAGGGGATTCAGTGGGATATTGGGAAAACCTTTATGAGCATTAGGATGGAGCAATAATGGAACAGACTACCCAATGGCAATGGAAAATCCTCTTCATTAGCAGGCCTTTGGAGCAGATAACACAAACCCCTGCCAGGAAGGACAAACACAGATCTATCTCCCATCCCATCCTATACATCTATGATCTCTTACAAACACCTCTGTTGTTTTAAAACTAGCTTTTTTCTGTCTGTTGGAGATATCCCACCTTCATCTGCTTTTATTGCCTCTGTGATTATTTAAGATGTCCTTACTAAGAGTTACAAAATAAGTCTGAAAAATATTTAAAGGAAAAAGTGTATTTTCCCAGCTGTTCTTAATCCATTAGCTTTGATAACATTAATCATTTATCTTCCTTTAACAATAAGAAAGTACAAGTTTCTTTAGAGCCTAATCTAATTTCAGGAAACAAATGGTTTTTTTTTTTAATTTTATTTCCTCACAATCCTAGTGTTTTACTCTCAGCCTCAGTACATTAAAAGTTTTCTATTAATAACAGCAAATAGACTTTCCAAAGATTATTGCAGTGAGCTGAAAACTAGAGAAGAGACAATGTAAAATCCATTGTGTAAAAAAGAAAAATCACCTAAAAGAACAGAACTTTGATTCAGGCTTATATTTTCCATTAAGAGAAAGGGAAGGATCCTGACAATCCCAACACAAAAGAAGGCTTAAAAAATATGAAGCAGATCTGCTGTATTTTACCAAGCAAGTTACAAAAGGTTATATAAAATTATTTTCTGAGCTACAGAATCTGGCATTTTGACCGTAAGAAGCTCTGCTGAAACTTATCTGATCATAGAATTGAGATATCGGTTTGGAACTGATTAAAATGTTCTTAAATTCTTTGTAAATTCCATAACCCAGAGCAAGAAATTATCTTGTGCTGATCTCAGAGTGCTACTTTAAAACAATCTCCCTGCTTATCCATGTCCTCTAAAGAAAAAGTCCCTTCCCAATGTCAGATTCTATTTTTAGACGCTCTCCAGATATTATTGTCAACCAATTCTTTTTTGCTATTCTATCATTTTGTTACTTTGCATACTATAACCTGTCAAGTCTTTGCAGCTCTTTGCACAGAAGATCTTGCAGCTCCAGTCGTTCCAATATGAGTTCACACTGTGTTCGGTACTGCGCCATTGGATTTTCTGGAAATGAGGTGTGTAAGGCATTGATGCCTCCGAGAAGTGCACCCCCCTATGTTACCAAAGAGATAAGAAAAAAATAGGAAGCTACCTTTATTATTCAACACCAAATTTAAACAGCAGAGACCATTTTATACAAAATTCTCCCTTAGATATTTTAAAGCTTAAGGTAGCAAATATTTACTGAGTAACTGTATTCAAACAAATAATCCTATTAGGTCTGCTCACACTGGCAAAGTTGTTCATACACATGAAGCAATTATATGATCAAGCCTGCAATTTACTTGTACTGGTTTGTTTTTATTTATACAAAAAATCAAAAGTCCACCTAAGGCTTGAGAATGTCATGACTAAAAATGGAAATTAGGATTAAAGAAATTTTGCAAATACCTTGCAAAAATTCTGCCCATGTGAGCAACTTTTATAACTGAAGAAGTTCTGACTGCTAAAAGTTTTCATTAGCTTTGCCTAATTATTTAATGGAAAGACCTGGGTATTAAGGCTTGTCAACACAGGGTAAATTGACCAGCAAAAATATTTCTGAATAGCTCTCTAAGAGTAACTAACTATTCAGGAATAATTCCAGAGAACAATTTTGCTGTGCCTTGTGAGAAATTAAGTAGTTTTTGTTTTGAACAGAGCATCTGCACAAAGTGATTTGTTCCACAACAAATAACGTAGTTAATTGCTCTTTGGAAAAAAAAAAACACGCCACAAACCACCTCTTTTGCCACAGATTAGCTAGCATTTACTACTGCTGTCTAATCTACAAAGCTCAATACAACTAATGAACAAGATGCATATCAAGAGCCATGAAAGCAACAGCAAAAGTCAACAGAGTCTCTAGAACCAGAAGTTGCTACATACAGCATCACATGGACCACACATTTTCATCTGTGGCAATTTCTGGTTCTTCCATTCTGAAATTTTAAATTTTTGTATTAAAAAAAATCACATTGAAAAAACATCATTCTGGTGGCTACTTAAATCCCTCTAAAACTACACAGTGCTAAAACTAAGGCTGTTCATGCAACCATTAATGCATCCCATTGAAGTTATCACTTGGGGTTTTTTTTTTGCATATCACTTCAGGAACATGGTAGATCTGTTCCACATAGAAGCATTAGTGTGTAGTCATGGAAAAGGTTGTTGCAGAAACACTCTGCTCTATTTATTTCAAGGACTGGAAGGTTCATAGTTAATGAGGCAGGGACTGTAAGAAAGGAAAGCCCAGTCTCTTGGCTAGGACAGTTAAAAGCAGCCAAGGAGAACTAGATTCTATTTCTGACACTAAGTTCCAGTTCTTGTGATTCAGAATGAGCCAGTTAAGCGAAGGTTTTGAAAGGCACTAAATCTGTAACTGGGATCCTGATGTGGTGTGTGCACAGAAGGAAACCACAGTTAACAGGAAATGTGCTCACTCAAAGTGCTACTACTCTGAAACTGGGGCCCTAACAATCTCTCATGGAGTATGCTCTAGTGGACAATTTCTTCTCTGTCGTGCATAATTCAGCTCCATATCATAGAACAGGAGTAGCACCATCCCATCACTTCACAAGGACTGTGTGAAGATAACTGAATTGATATTTCTGAAATACTCAAATACACTGGAGATTAATTCCACAGAGAAACATATGAAGAAATTGGGAGTTCTACCTTCAGAAGAGCAGGTAATAAACAAAACATTGAGCAAAACACTGACAAAGGATAGTTGCTTTTGGCTTGAGTACTGTCAACCTATGACCTAAGGATCCAATGGAAAAAAAAAAAGGAATACATGATTATATATCTTGAGATCTATGTCCAAGGGGTACAATTATGTCTTGCCCTCACTGACTTTTCAGTGCTTAACTTGGCCATCACAATGAGCTTCTTTTAAATGTTTTTCTATGTGTGTGTGAAATTATAAGTGGGATGGGACTGAATTTAAGTTATCTGTGAAGTTTCATTCCTATGCTGGTGCTTACATCTCTGAGATATCTGCCCCTCTGAGACGCTGAGATATCATTTTGAGTACAGCAAGGTAGCCAAGTGACAAATCCACACGCTGTGGAACTGAGGGCAGAGGATCTAGAACAGAGAGAGTGAAAAAACAAAGTATTCCAGGGAAAGTTAGCAGAAAGGAAGGGTGTAAAAGTGCCAAAGGGTGGGAAGACAAAATGTAAAAAGGGAGTAAAAGGAGAGGGGTTGGAAAGGGAATAAAATAAGGATGCAAACATGACCGAGAGAAGGAGGGAGACAATGTTAACATAGAGGAAATGAGGCGAAGGAAAGATCAAGCCAGGGAGGATTAGAATATGCTTATGAAGACAAAGTAGGAAAGAGAAAATAAAGGTGAATTAGAGGATTAAATAAACAAAAAACCCCAATGAACTAGGATGGTGATGAAAATGTCATAGTCCTCTTTTCCCAAGAGGGCTCACAAGAAGTATCTGAATACTGACCTTAGAACTGTGAACTTTGATTTTATACTGGCAAGAATAATAATATTTTTGTAGAAGTTGCAAAGACAATGTTGAAGACAGAGTTTGCTGAGCTGAAAGGTGGCAGCCAATCATTCAAGAATGACACTGATATTTCCCCATTTACAACCTCATGCTTCAGACTGACGATTAGGCAGGAAACACAGGATGTATCTATACATAAAGTGGTTTTTTTTTTTCTAGAGAAGGAATCAACTTCTGAAAATAAACTTTTACACGACTTCTATTTTTTTGCTAAAACAAATAAATCACTTCCTTCAAAAAGAAACTGTTTCAGTGATTCATATATACCTTTCAGGAAGAAGGTAAAATTTGGCCTTAAATAGCAGATCTCAAGTTTGCAGACTCCTAGAAAAAATGAACACATTTGTGTACTTGCTTATAAGCAGTGAAAAATGGAGCGAATATGATGAGCATACCAACTACTCCCAGGTAGTCTTCTGCAGTCATAATTCAGGCAAATTTCTAACTGACTCTTATTAGATAGATGCTTGTTATGCAAACTGCAGCCCTTGAGGGCAGGGCTGTATAAATTTGAGAAGGTGACCCACAGTTAAAACAATTCTTTTACATTTATTTGTGCTGATGATGTAGAGAGATGAACAGACAACAATACACATTCATTATTATATACATACATTCCACTTCTTGATCTGTTGTGAAAAAAAATTACATATTTCAGATTTCTTATATCCCAAACCAAATTGCTTTGAAACCACTGTCCCATCAAATTCCCATCTATTTAATAACAGGTTTAATTACAGTTAAGGAACACTTACGTGATATTTTCTGCTGTTTCAACTGGATATATTAGTGCAGCTTCTTATTTTAACTTAGATGCAGTGCTGTCATTGAAAAGCTGAGCTCTTCAAAACAATGCAAGATGAATTGCAGCAGACAGTTAAATAATCTTTTCCTACTTAATAAGCTCAGGCCCTGTATTATTTTTGAGACAAATTCCATTTGCAACACTGTGCAGTAGGTTATCTGTGGCACAAACTGCAATTAGTCTCTCAACCCTCATTGAAAGAACAAGGGAGATCACAAGTGCCTACCTGCCATATGTGACTTTGTGTATCTATCCTGAAGAGCTTTATCTCTGAAAAAGGAGTATTAGCTACTCCTGCAAAGGTCTTTAAGGTCCATTCAGCTACAGGTGCTATATAAAACTGTTTTAATTTGAATATACTCATATCAACCTATATAGAAACATAGGAAATGCCATTTTGGATCAGACCAGTCATCTGTGCAGTGGAGTACACCATCTTTCACAGAACCAAAACCAAATATTTCAGACGGGCTAAAAACCTCCATGCATAAAACTTCAGATAATCTGCTTATAGTAATTTTTTTTCTACTCTGAAGTGTGAAGATCTATTTCCCTTAAAAATATTCTATCTGAAGTAGAATCATAGAATAGTCTGTGTTGGAAGGGAATTTTAAAGGTCATCTAGTCCAACCCCCCTGCAATGAGCAGGGACATCATCAAGTAGATCAGGTTGCTCAGAGTAACAGTAATAGTGTCTATATTATTTTCCACATTTCCATTTTTAAAAAGCTTCTATCAGATTCACATTCCTTTTATTAATTCTAAATGTGTTGCTTTTTCTTTACATTCAACATCCTAATAATATTACAGTAAACTAAAATCTAGCTTTCCACATTTTTTCAATATCTTTTTACATAGAAACATTACACAAATCCACGTGATAATTGGAATGCACAATTTTCACAATTTTCAGTGCAACCAAAGCTTTGGACTTCTCAGAGTAAAATTAGTCTTCTAAAAGTTTTAGTATCACTACCAACATATTTTAAAATTATCTAATGGCAAAATAAAGTGGAGGTCTTGGCAACTGTTCGAAACTTGCTCCAAAAAAAAGATTTGGTTCTCTCATACCTAGTTAATGAGTGACAAGATAACATCATGGAACAAAAACCCATCAGAGGCTATCAAGCACAGCGATACAGACACAGTTTCTGGATCAAAAGGTCTTTAAAATGTAGATAACCAAAAGACAATAGTATGCCAAAACCTCATTTAGACTGCAAAGTCTATAAAAAAAGGTATCAGGCCTTTAAGACCAATCCAGACTTTTCAGTATAATCTCTGTTTAAGGATTTTAATAATCAAGATGGACTAAAAATGACTTGCCAAGTTCTCTGATGACCTACTCTCCATGAGTGCATGAAACCCCCTCCAAAGACATGAAGGGAGCTAGCATGTATCTATGTACATGACAAACTGAATCACTTAAATGGGCTATTGCAGCAATGGCAATGTCTGCAAGAAACCTTACCTGCATAGAAGATTCCATCACCGATACCACAGTTATAGCATCTTCCAAAGTCACAGTATCCCTAAACATCAGCCGGGCATGAGCTATCAAAAATAAATGGGTATTGAAAGCAAGCATTACCAAGGTGAAAAAACAATTTTTTGTACTAGAAGGGACAGGATATTTCTTCACATTTCTTCAGATCTTCAGACACTCGTGTATGGGCCTAACTTAAACATGAATATAATCCTTTTGATTTTAGTGTCAATGTCAACAGGAATTGGAAGATTTAGTTTTACTACTAAAGAATGTAATGTGACTTCCATATCACAGCTACAGTGACGGTTCAAATAAAAATACTCAAAATGCTAGAGTTAAAAAATGTAAAGTACTGGTTATCATAACAAGGAGTGTAACATGAAACATATAGATAGGGATGTACCATATCACATCTATATAAGTGTGTGTCATCACCATAAAGTAAAAAAATTACTCTAATTTTCATCACAGGTCAGAAAAGATTTGACTTCCACTGACTGGTCTGTGTCACAAGGTTAGTATTATTTAAAATGCTTTTCTCTACAATAGCTTTATTTTTTTTTCCTTTCCTTTCTTAAGTCAGCAAAACAAAACTGATTTTTGTAAACAGACATAATGCAAATAATTTACCACATGAAGCTCTCCTCCTAACTGGCTGTTGAAACACACACAGTTCTTATTCAGCAAGAGGAAGGCAGGTTAATTAATACCACCTACATAATACTTTGAGAGAAAAAGCCCAATCATGTGAATGCATAAGAATGGAAGAAACACTGAATGTGAAAATATAACATGTGAATCCCTAAAAATTAGAAATGTCTTTCACTTAAATAATTTTTCCCCCAAAATGGAGAAAAATATAAACATCTGATGCAGGAAGCACTACATTGTTGACTGGCACATAAAAGCATAAAGAACATTTATTATTGTTATACAAAAATACAGTACATTCTTTTAAATTCATCCTGAAAATATTCGATACACCATTTTATAAAACAAAATCATGTTAAGGCAGAAGCCTACTGCTTCCTTTGTTTTTGTTCTTATAAATGAAATATGACTTGAACTCAGAGTTGGAAATGTTCAAGTCCTATTGCAAAATACAGACCTGATTATTGATACTTAAGGAAAAAAAAAAGTGTTATTTTTGATGTTACATTAATTTTAGCATAGAAGCAAATACTTGATACCTTTGCTTTGGCTGAGTAGGATGGCAATCCAGGACTCAAGTGAAATAAAGTAAATCCTGAGATTGCTTTTCATAAAGACACTAAACTTCTGATATTTTTCTCTCAAATGTGATTTCTTCCAGTGGTTTTAGTTTTTATTATGGGTGTGAGAATGGCAAAAGTAAAACTCATTTTGATAATCTAAATGTAACACCCTTTCCCACATTCAAAATCTCCAACCCAAAGTTTCTCTAGATTAGAAAGATAAAACAATACAAGAATCACCTATCCCAACCGCTATGGAAAAGCTGGTGCTCTGCTTACTGGCTATAATTATACTCCTGATCTAGTCATCTTATAAAGGTTAATTGTTAGCCTAAAAATAGAATTGCCACAGCCTTACCTTCTGCAAGACGTATCAAACTCTCTAATAAGCGAATGGTAGTTCGGGCTGCATTTCTGCAGTCACTCTGACGCTGCATTTGATAGTAGCGTACAAGGATCAGGTTGCTCTCATCAGACAATTTTGGCTGTATACTTTTTATAAGGCAGAAGTAGGTTTTCATCTTTTCCATGCTCCAGAGCTTTTCTGATTTGCTTGGGCAACCTGCATGACAACTGCCTAGTCAGTAATTCTGTAACAACAAATATCAAGCTTTTTCCTAAGAATTCCAGTTAAATAGAGAGGTGACTATGAAAGACATATTACTGTATTTTTGGGGCGTACTGGGTTGTCTGTACACTGGTCCTCAAGGACTTGGCCAAATTCCAGTGTGGAATTTTACACACCATTCAAGTCCTCCCCTACCAAAATCCACAGTAAAGCCTCCAGTAATTTCAGCAGAACTGCTGTCAGACTCACTGCCCACCAAAGAGTACAGTCAGTACTAAGTGCTCTAGTATTACTTAAAATGTAAAATGCTACATAAATGTATGTACCTCCTCTGGCCCTTCTACCTACTTTGTAGGAGCCAAAAGCTACCTGCCAAGTTTGGAACATTTTTGGCAGCGAAACATTTTGGGAAGGGAAGGAAGCTAGCTGAAGAAGTTTTCTCTATCCACTTCTTCCCTAATGGGGACCAAAGCCATGTTCCTGAAGCGGATGGAGAAGGGGCTGGTTAAAGTCAAATCACACTGCCTTCCCTAATTCCAGAGCACAGAGCTCCACATAGGTAACACTATTCTTTGAGCCCTGCAGCACATGCAGCTCAGATTTGTTCTGTCTGAATTGTTTCCTATGAACAGCATGTACAATTACATGGTATATAGAATCTGCACATCAAGCAATGTAAAGGCGCAAGATGGAAACTATCCACTTATCGAGCAGTGTGGGCTGAAATCTGTTGTAAATTATCAACAGATTACGATTATTATTACAATTATCGATTGTAATATAGACTAAAAGTACAGTATTCTCAGCTCACCTCTATTAATTCATTAGTGATCTCTGTCTTATTCCTACTTGAAAAACAACCATACCGCAGGAAACTACCATAGCAAAAATGTAAAAACTAATTAATATAAAAGACTCAGGAAGAACAAACTAAACTGAAAGGTGGGGAAATAACTAAAAAAAAAGGGAACAAAAAAACCCTTATAATTTAAAAAGACTACTCTTACCTTTATTTTGCAAGATGAAAGATGAAATGATGCGGTCCCATTCCTCGTTCTTTGTATCTAACAATACTAAGACCAGGTCAAATCTGCTCAACAGGGGACTGCCAAGAGCTATGTTGACAGAGACAGACTCATTAGGGTCATAATGGCCTTTTGGGTTTGTTGCTGCCAGGATGGTTGTCCTTGTATTAAGCTTGCACACCAAGCTAGAGAAAAGTATGATGAACGTTATGGTTGAATTATATTGGGTAGGGAAAATGATTCCAAAGTGTTAAAAGTTACCACATTTTTATGTTATAAGGAGCACATCTTACCTGGAAAGACTATAAGAGCTGAACAAGATACACAATTTTTTATTAATATATATTATATATGCAGCATTTCTCAGTCAGAGAATAGCAGCTAGACAGAAGGACAATGATCAGGATACCAAAAGTAACTAAACAATATTGCCAGGACTCATCTCTATAGACAGCTAGGTCCTTAAATGATGAAAACCAACATAACTTTTCAGAAATAAATATTACTTTGCTGATTTATAGAGTATAGAAACACTTTTTCATTATGGAAATCAACATTTTAGCTTAACTCACATTTTAAGAAAGCAAAATAAAAGGTAATATAAACATATGTTTCATTCCTGTATGCAAACATGTTATGAATATGAACCCAACCAGACAATGACAGCAGATGTATCAACTGTTTCTCCAGGGAAATAGCCATTTTCCTCTCTTAACCATGCTATCCTAGCATGTGTTTTTAGATGTGGGGAGAGATTATTTTTATTCTAGTGGACCAAATGTAATCTTTGCGGTTAAGGCAGCAGCAGAATTATTCTAACTTTGGTTTGTCACTGAGCTATTTCTAGTCAGCTCCTGAGAAACTGCTGCCTCACATCCAAAGTCCTTCTGTAACTGAGAGAAAGGACCACAGATCTTCTATTAGCTTATACCCAATGGGAAAAAACCCCCTTATCTCCCATGTACCAAAATAAGACCTTAAATTAACAAAGTGCTTAACCTATCTGTGCTAAGTTACTACTCAAAAAATCCTTATTATATGTAGTCCTTAAAAGTGAGCAATTGAGGCTATATCTGCAAGTTCACAAACTGTGTTTTGGGGTCTACAAAACCCAAACAACTGCAACAAGGAACCTGGCTAAAATATGTCACTATCTTACTAAGTAGATAGGACCATGTTGATTCCAAATATTTGTCCCCAGCTGCATTACTGGCAAAGGCTAGTAATCTCCCAGGTGAGAGTGACATTACTTGTCTGCTGTCTGCCAAAGAGGCTAAAGAGAGCTTCAGTGGAGATGCTCAGAATAAAGAAAGGACATCATCAGTTAGAGGAACTGAGAAAATGTGATTGGAGCAAGAACCAGGTTGAAGGCAACAAGGAAGAATGTGGAAAGGGTGATGCCTTTTGAGAAGCAGAGATTTTAGCAATATCAGCCAGGAGATGATTTGGGCCAGGACAAGGGCTGCATATGACTGACAGAATGACATATAAGCTTAAAGTGGTGGTGGGGAAATAGCAGATTTGAACACACACTACTTTGAAAAAGAAAGCCAGAAACCAAAAGTAAGCAGGAATTTATATGTATGCCATGCCCAACATATAAAATTCAGCAGCCTGGAAATCTCTCTTGTCTTCTTTTGTTACCATGCAGAATTACTGGATTTTGGAGAAATTAAGTCCCACTGAGTTCCTATAAAAAATTCACAAAGTTCCTCATTTCACATATGATTATTATCATATGTCCTCGCAGCAAAGGACAAGAAAAAGAACATCCAGTCTTCTTAGGAAAGTGCCCTAGCCTACAGTGGTAGATTGAAAACCCAACAGTGAAGAGGGTATATATTTATTCTGATTGCTTGCAGCCTCCAGTCCAGTGCATTGTCCTTTGAAACGTTGACTCATCTAGTTTAAGAATAATGCTGAGAACAAAACTATTAAGTACATGAAAGGAAACAGATGTATTTAGTCAGCATGACAAACCTCCCTCCACCTCGTAAGTACAAGAGAAACATCTTATGTTGTTTTATCACATACGTTAACATGCCACTTACCCTGCCTTTGCAACACTGATGGTTTGTTGCTCCATTGCTTCATGGATACTGGTTCTGTCATGTTCTTTGATACTATTGAACTCATCAATGCAACAAAGGCCTCCATCTGCAAGCACCAGTGCTCCAGCTTCCAAGTTCCACTCCCCAAAGTCCTTCACAGCAGTCACTGTCAAACCTGAAGAATCAATTACTTCAGTCAGTCTTTTCCTTAAACTGCAGGAGTGCACTTGAGTGAAAGACAGGGACCCAGCGAACTGCCTTGTGCCACAGACAGAAGGCAAAACAGCAGGTTAGCTCCACCACATACCTCTACCATATAACTCACTTTACACCTACTGGTAAGAAATCCCACTAGCGTTCGGCAGGTTAGCCTGGATCTGCAGAGCAGATTCTTTTAAGCTTCCCATGGCCGATAGCAACTTGTTTTAGGACTTTGTTAATTGTACAAAAGAGATTAGGGTAAGAAGACTAAATCTGCCAGATCAAATTGAAAATTAGGGCAAATGTAAAAATCGCAACATTATGGAATGGACCCATTCAGCTCCTCCTCCCCATCAGCTACTAAAATGGACAAATATTTTGGACATGTAAAACAATGTTTGGAAAAAAAAAAATTATTTCAAGTGTCTTTTAACTCCTGGCCCCAGGAAGTGGAGACAAATTCTCACTTTAAACTAAGGCAATTAAATTTCTTTATGAGATTTTTGGGTTCCTCTAAGCATTAAGCAAAAATGAAAAGTCAAAGATCCCCAAGGATAAAATGGGGGGAGGGGGAGGAGGGCACACACACATTCCCAGCAGGGATCAGTAAAGCTACATGATACAACACTGAGGGCATGGCAGGTCAGAAACTCTGCACAACTGTGAAAACAGCTACTCATTATCAAGTACGTGTGTCTTCTTTCAAACCTTCTATTCCCTATTTCCCAGCTTCTTCTCTATCTTTAGCCCTCCTTTTTCACTCCAGTGTTCAGCTCAAAATATCCTAGTAGTTGACAAGCTGCGACCAGCCTAAAATCTCCTGGAATGCTATGGCAAAGCCTGCCCAAGAATCCCCCCCAACTTCCCTTGGTTCAGGGAGGACAGGCTGCTGAGGCCACCATTTGTTCCCAAACAGCCAGCAAAAAGTTGCTGGAAATATGTATTTCCTGACAACATAATGAATACTTTATCTTGTTGTGATGCATCTCCTCCATTATGTCCAGTCTTTCCTGGTTTCCTGGACTGTGCACTGAACAATTCAGCCAGTCAATCACATAGCAGGATTATAAAAAAAACAAATAACCTCTAGCCTTGTGTCAGACACATGGAAAATGGTATTAAGAAGTATCAGGTGATGACATTTCTTCATAAATACAAGCCAAAAGTGTGATCTACTTTCCAAACCTTGCACAGGCTTGGAGATTTGCTAACAGCCAAGGGCCCCCGTGCCTCAGTGCTGTGCTCTCAACCGCTTGCAGATCTGGCAGCACTCTGCTTCCACCAGCAGGGCTCGGCCTTTCCCTGCAGGTGAGAAGATGGCTCCTACATCCCTTCCTGCTGTGCATATTCCACCGTAGTCAGGGGCTCCCTGTAGACAGTACCAGAGCCTGGCTGTGTATTTATTTCGACACAGAATCTCCTTTTGTGGTGAGAGTAGACAACTCACATCCCCCGAGCCCTGAGTACTTTTTGCTTTCCCCTGACAGAAGCGTGAGGTATGTAAACTGGTGCTACAGTGCTATGTCACTCCTCCCCATCCCTTGTGCATGGCAGCCACAAGATGGCTGCCTCTACCGGCCTCCTGCTGCCACACAAGATGGCTTCCTCTACATGCCTGTTGCTGCCGCACAAGATGGCCTTCTCACTGGGCTTCCTCCTGCTGCACAGAGATACGTGTTGTTTCACCGTTTATGTTACCTAAGCCCTTCTTTACAAATATAGGATTGGGATGGCTTCTTGACAGCACTGCTGTGTAAAAGACACACTTTGACCCTCCACAGCCTCTCTCTATGGGTGGATTCATGGCAGAACTCAGGCTCGTGCAGACAGCCCACCCACACCCCAGGTGCCCAGCAGCCTGCCAGCAATCCCCACTCCATTCAGGGAGCACCCCAGTGAGCGAGGCACCAGCTGGGCTCCCTGTTACGCCGCCTCCTGGCACACTGCCTTCAACCAGGCGGCTGTCGCTGTGGTGCTGACCAGGATGGCTTGGCTCCCTGGTGGGGTCAGCCTCCTGCCAGCTGACGACCCCCATGCAGACCCACAGCCCTGAGCCAGACTGACCCTATCACCTGGGACCCCACCAGCACCCAGTCCCTGCGAAACCAGCTCACTGCATCACCCCTATCACCTTTGGGCACACACACACAAAAAAAGCCTTAAAAAAAACCCCAGACAAATCCACAAGAACGACAGCCCCCACAACACATGACGGAGCCCCACGGGTGAGGACGG